TCAGTTTGGGATCGTGTTCCCACAGCACCTGTATCTGGCTGGGGCTGTTTGGCTCAATCTGGCCCTCGCTCATGGCAGAAGCTGTGTCAGTCTTGAGTAACGTTTCAGCAGAACCAGAGAGCTTTGCTGAGATTCCTGTATCTGTCTTTTATTAAAAGGTCGACACGTGTGCCTGTTGGAGAAGATCAAGTCCTGCACCTGGAACTAGCCCAAGATATAGCACAACATTTCAACAAGAAATACGGAGAATTCTTTCCGGTGCCCAAAGCCATTTTAAGTGAGTTGCTCTTGGTGTTTTTCCCCCTTAAGTGCACTTCAAGGTGGAAGATGGATTTAAATATTGTGGAAATAATTTCAGGGACCAAGAAAAGGGAGCAAACTGATGCTAAAGGAGTGGAAAATTCAAAACTGACAACAAGAGACTAGAGGCTGTGAAATTGGACTCCCAAGACAGACAAAAGGCTTTACAAATCCCTGGTAGAGGAATGTTTGCGACGTCTGGTATTCTAGTCCAGGGGGCCAGATGCACTCTGCTGCTGCCAGTCAGCCTTGCTCTTCAAGTGTTGGACCTCTTAAGAGCAGCATCTCTGTTCCGTGTTGCTAGTTCAAGAGATTTACAAGAAACAAGACAAGAGACCTCTAGCAAGCAGAATTCTTCAATGTCTGCAGTGTAGATGTTTACATTAAGCATGCTAAACAGCTTGTAGGTTTATTACTACAGTGCTCAAAAATCTTTTAAATGTGTTTAATACAAGCTTGCATATTTCAGTAAGGGGCTCTTACAGAGCTTAGACCTTCCGTTTTTGATCTGGGACTCAGGGAGACTTATAAGGAAAATCTTCTCAGCCATTTTTGAGCTATAAGGTCATAGGCCGGGGGGTGAGGAGGAGTCAGATGGCACTAATGGTATGTTTGTTAAGAAACGTGAAGAATTGGGCAAGAAGCAGCATTGCATCTTTGTTGTGAGTAATGCAGAGGAATGCACAGCAGAGACCTTCGCCCCCAGAAGGGCAAGGAGCTCTCACCTTGGAAAAGACAGGCAGTAATAAACCTTTCTCAGTTTTCAAGCCTCAGTGGCAAAAACGGTGTTAGACCCAGAGTGGAGCTTAGATAATACCAGGTATTGCAAGCTCTGCAGTTTCTAATGAACAATTCAATGCTAATTACTGTAACGAGGAGCTGAGCGTAGCCTGTGATGCAGGTGAGACTGTTTCCCAGGAAATAAAAAGCTCTGTTTGGGAAGTGGGGGGTGGCTGGAACACGCACTGTTCCCTTTCCCCGTGAAAAGCACGCCTTCGGAAGCGCACAAGTGCGTGCAAACCAACGGAACGTCCTGGATGAAGGCAGGAGTTAGGGTCTCGTTTGGACTCACAAGCTGCAGGCAGTGAGGTTACCTGGGCTCCTTTGGATTTACAGGCTCTTCCAAAAGATTCGGAACAGAGCACTTTGTGGGCAGTCTGAATTGTACCCTGGAAGAACACTCAGCCTTTCACTGGGTACGTAGCCCGTCTACGAGGAGTATGGAGGTCATTTCGTTGGCTGCATTAGGTGTCTAAAGTTGGCACTTCCTAGATGAGTGGTACTTTCTGTACTCCATAAATTATGTTTCGTGGCGAAAGAGTGAAACTGTGTGTGTTGATGCTGCTAAAGAAAGTACTTTGCAATATTCTCCTGATGCCACTACTCCATTTCATGTAGACACACGTATCTCAGTAGTTCGTGTGATGCCTACACCTCTCTTGCCCGAACGATGCTTTCGCTCTAATGGAGCTGGTTAGTGCTCAGTTCTGGAATCTTTAATAACTGTCTTTATTGACATTTAGGAGAATTACCAAGAGATTTTGAGTGGAACAGTTCCCTAAAGGAAGGGGATTAACTGTTCTGAGATTCTTTTTCCACCAGTGGATTTAACCTGTTTCTCCACTGTTACAGAACCTTTCAGTAATGTACAGTCTGTGCTCTCCAGGTAGCCTGTCCCCAGTGCCAGGAATACGAGGGAGGAGATCAGCATATAGCCTCAGAAAATAATAGGAAGTGTCCCAGCAGAAGTTTCTGCTTAGAGAGGAGAGGAGAAATGGAGAAGGTTTTCACTGAGTTTATGGAAAGAGAAAAGTGGCTTAGAAGGACTAAATATTATGCTCACAACTCGTTTTTAAGCAAGGATAAACAGAGAAATTCATCATGCTGCTAGAGTGTTCTTCACAGTTGTCAGAAGAAACCATTGTCTCTGTGTGTGTGTTCATAATTATTTCCTTTTTGGTTTTTTTAAGGTGCAACGAAGAAAATAAAATCCCTCAGAGATCCAGCGGTGAAGATGTCCAAGTCAGACCCACAGAAGTTAGCCACAGTTAACATAGTGGACAGCCCCGATGAAATAGTGCTGAAATTCCGCAAAGCTGTGACTGACTTTACCTCTGAGGTCACCTATGACCCAGCCAGTCGCCCTGGTGTCTCCAACCTGGTGTCCATTCATGCTGCAGTAACAGGGCTGAGCATCAAAGAAGTGCTCCACCAGTCTGCTGGTCTCGACACTGCTCGCTACAAAATGGTGGTAGCGGAGTCAGTTATTCAAAAATTTTCACCTATCAGGAATGAAATCAAGAAGCTCCAGGAAGACAAATCCCATCTGATAAAGGTTTTAGAGGATGGAGCAGAGAAAGCCAAAGAACTGGCTGCCCCCATCTATCAAGAAATAAGAAGACTGGTGGGATTTCAGTAGAAACTGCTGAGTAGTTGCAAGGACTTTTGTTTCCTGGGACAGACATTTCGTTATTTGTATCTTCTTAATCATTTTGGTTTGAAACAAAAACTTTTTTTTCTCCTGGAAAATCCAAGTAGAACATTGCAGGTGTTTGCATTAAAAAATGTGCATGAAACCAGATATTTCCAGTGGGACCAGCATTGAGCTTGTCTGGATAGTCAAAGAAGGAGGGCAGAAGCAATCACAATTCACAAAGAAATCCTGCAAAAGCAGAACGTAAGATTGCCCAGATAGGGTTTTGGGTTCTTCAGTTGACCAGCGCAAGAAGCTGAGATACAGGCAGAGTGATCAGGATCTAGCAGAAAGTTTTGTAATCTTCTCAAGAACATCCTAAGCTATGCATGTGATCTTGTTACAGATGGACAGTCCATCCCATAGGTGGTTATTCAGCTTTGATGTGGCGGTTGAATGTGTTCTTGGATAACCAGCAAAAAAAGCAGAGGCTTGCAAATCAAAATGCTCAGGGTGATGAAGAGAGAGTTCACTGCCTCTCCCTATCGCATCCTCAGACTCGGTGTAATTTCATATCTGCATCTAGTTCATGCGAGGTGAGTCAGTGTCTCTTATGGATATGGGATCCGCACTCTAAAACCCTGTGTGACTGCTGTGCTAGGTGGCCTCTTTGATGGTCACTCCAAAGAATCCAGAAAGTGGACTTGAACTTCACTTTTGCTCTCTGTGCCATCCTGCTGGTCAAGTCTAAAGGACTTCAGTGAGAAACAACACGTGCTTCGGCGGCTCCCGTTCCACCTGCCGTTCGTTTAGCAGGGAGCTCCAGCGTTTCCAGTTCAGCATCAAGTCTAGGATTCCTTTAGAAAAGGTGCGGGGGGGGAAGAGATGTCATCTTGTGTGAAAGAAATCTTTGGTTGGGAAATCGGAGAACTTCCTGTAAAATTTACAAAACTACTTGTCTAGAAAATTGTGCTGCGGTCAGAGCCAGGCTGAGATTAACTTAGATGTTTCTGAAATCTCACAACGGAGCCTCGAGAAGGCTCAGTGGTCGGAGAATGGTGTCAGCCTCTACTGGTCTTAGGCTTCCCAAGACCCACAGACTGGGATCCGTGAACTACAGTGTTTCTTGGGAATGTGTAGCAAAAGGGAATGGCAAAAAGGAGACATCCCCTTCCGAGGAGGGGGTAGTAGTACGTGTTAAAGGTAATGAAAGCCCTACTAGTCCTGTGTGTATTTAAGTGTATCAGTGTGCTTAATGGTGCTGCCTTTGAAATTCCTCTACTGGAAAGTAAATGGATTCATCCCGTGCTCCGGCAGCTCGTTACCATTACATGTCTCCGGCATTTGTCGCAACGGAGTGCAGGCTTACATGGCTGAGTCAGTAAAACTGGGAGGGTTCCTATGCAGTGCAGGTGTTTGGTTGTTTTTTTTTTTTAAAAAAAAAAGCTATTTAGTCTTAAATTTAGTTAATTACCAAGGTGAGGTGATTCAGAAAGAATGATTTTATTTTGCAAAACAAGAAGTTACGGACTGACCGTCTGCGGATCTGTACTGAGACCTGTATTTATTTGTTAGGGATCTGAAGAAGAGAACTGCTCTGCAAGAACTTGATGGTGACAGAGTTGCTAAAGTTAGTCAAGACTAAAGGAGCAGAGTGGATGGAGACAGAGTGATAGGAAACCAGACTCGGTGTAGACAAGTTCAAGGTAATGTCCCCCGGAAAGAATTCAGTGTATTCAAAAATAGTCCCTGGTTTCAAAGTAGCCGTAGCAGATTAGGAAAGGGCACAGTTACAGCTGTGCATATTTTGGTGGTTTTACAAAACTTTGGGTGTTTGACAGCTGCATCAGGCTGCCTGGGAACCACGACATAAAATTAATGCTCAGTCACTGCCACATACTGACTCGGCATAAGGTGTTTGCTGTGACACTGTTTAACATGGGTTGGTTTCCACAAAGGTCCTACAAAATAGGTTCCTTCAGGGAAGATAGCAGGGTGCTCATGGAGATGCTGAAAAATCTTTAACCCTAGTGTCTCTGGTTTCTGCCTGTTCCTTTTTTTCCAGCAAAAAAAGGAGCATATATTCAAAAGAGGAATCATAGTTTCAAGGTGTCTTTACACTCCTGATGCTCAGATCACCTAACGTATAGGGTTGGCATTCAATACACATTCCTGCAGTGAAAAGGAAATAGGAGTATTTGTCTGTTTTCAATGCAATTTATTACAAAAAAAAAAAAAAAAAGTGGGAGAGGATGACATCAACAGGCGATTCTGGCTCGTTACCCAAGCTGTTCTGAGCAGTCTTTCCAAAACTGTTAGCTTTTTTCAGAAAATCATATAAGCAGAGAAGGAAGAAAAACTTCAAAAGAGCAGTTTCTTTGAGGTAAGGGTTTAATACATTACATATTCAGCAGTGTTTCAATCAAACTTTTTATTTTATCTCATTTTAATTCAAGAATACATTGGAGTTTACCTCTTCCCTTTCTCCTATCAATGAAACAAATCTTACTTGCCTGACCTATTTCCTTCAAGTAAGGACATATGCCTGGTTTTATTTCTTCAGGAAAGTTAGACTTGTGTAAGACGAGTATGTTCACCTACTGGTTGTTGACTTAGTAGCTCGCGTGGAGGAACTCTCAAAGTAAAAGCTGCGTCTGCCCAGTGAAATAATCCCAATTTGCTAACAACCATGGTCATTGGAGTACCCTGAGAGGAGACAACTGTAATGTAGATGTTTGCAGGTGTCTGCTGCCTCTTTCAGTGTTCGTAAAGCACCCGTCCCAGATGGTGTTCTGTGGCAGCGTTTGCTTTAGCAAAGTAGCACAGATGAGTTAGAGCAGCGTTTTAGAGAACACTTGTTGGAGAAGGCTTGATCCTGTGTATTTCAGAAGGATTTGTTTCACGCTGACTCCAGTGGGGTGTGCTGGGGCTTTACTGTTTGTTTCCATCTGCAGTGCAATAGGTGCACTCCTGGAATGCGTTTTCATGTTTGGTTTCATCCATTTCGTGTTCCCCGAGACCCCTCTGTGATGCTCGGTGACGCGCCGTTGGTGGGGACAGGGAGGAGTCTCTGCAGAAGTGCTCTCCTGATCCCAACCGCTGTGCTAGTGTGGACAGGCCCTGTGGTACAAGTCACTGGAAGGTGTTCTTCCAGGACTGGGTGGGAAAGAGATCCAATTGCATCTGTCCTAATTGAAGAAAGAAGAGCTGAAAGGCCAAGAGGTATTTTTGCCACTTGCTGTGCTGCACCTTGTTTCAACTTCCTTTACTTCAGTGGTCCTTTTCCTCCAATATGTGCAGTAATTTGTGTCTTGGTTTTGAAATCTCCTCCTTTCCCTTTCCTATATGTTTAGTGCAGGGGAAGCACATACGTAGTAGTGGGATGTGCAGTGTCAGACCTGGCATCTTCAGGTAGCTGAAGAGGCTCGCTTACCCCTAGAGATGGACATCAACTCCACAGCGAATAACTCACAAAGCTCTAACTAAAACATTTATACACTAGAGACGTTTATCTTTGTGACCAATGGTTCCTTGGAAGTCATCACTTATCAGAAGATGCTGATAGTGAGTCTCAGTTCTGTGCACCCAACTTAGAGCACAGAATTTACTGGGAATTTTAGATTCAGGAACAATGTTTTCTTCAATAGAGACCCCAGATGATGATTTCCCTCATAAATTAACTCTAGCACTGCTCCAGCAGCTGCATACTTCTGTGCCTCAGACCACTGGAGAGTATGTATATTGTACATTATACTGGAATTTGTCTGGAACTCCTAAGTATAGTTCAACCACCTTTAATTTTCAGACACTGTGATCTGAGTGTGTTTATCTACCAAGAATTTGAGGAAAGCTCCCCAGCAGGGTTGAGGCTGCCTCCCTTCGAGGTGAGGGAGTTCGTGTGAGTGAGGTGAAAGTCTAAGGAAGGACAGTGGAATGGGATCACTGGGGGATCACCTGCATCTAAATGTTTTGGGACTAGAGATTATCAGAGCAAGTATTTTCTTATCCTTGGT